TTAGACTAAGACAGACTTGGAAGAGGGAGGAGGCCATCCACTTCTCAAAGAATTGGCCAGTAAAAATCTTATGAATAGCAGTGAAACACTGTGCGATATAGTGTGGGAAGGTGAGCCCCTCAGGTCTGAAAGAATTCCAAATATGACTGGAGAAGAATGGCCTCCTCAGTGTAGAGCCAAACTTAATGATGTTCATAGAGGAAAGCTTTCAAGACCCACATTTGCTGATGTTGTATGTCTCAAGATGAGAAGTAACAGCTGCAAACATCTATTAATAATTGGAACATGGAATGTATGAAGTATGAATCTAGGAAAACTGGAAGTTGTCAAAAATGAAATGGAACACATAAAGATTGATATCCTAGGCATTAGTGAGCTGAAATGGACTGGTTTGGGCCATTTTGAATCAGACAACCATATGATCTACTACATCGGGAATGACAACTTGAAGAGGAATGCTGTGGCATTTATCATCACAAAGTCTGTTTCAAGATCTATCCTGAAGTACAACATTGTCAGTGATAGGATAATATCCATACCTACAAGGCAGACTAGTTACTATGACTATTATTCAAATTTATGTACCAACCACAAAAGCCAAAGATGAAGAAAGTGAAAATTTTTACCAACTTCTGTAGTCTGAAATTGACTGAACATGCAATCAAATGTGTTAATTATCACTGGTGATTGGAATGCAAACGTTGGAAACTAAGAAGAATCACTGGTACTTGGAAAACATGGCCTTGGTGTTAGAAACGTTGCTAGATATCACATGATAGAATTTTGCAAAACCAACAACTTATTCGTTGAAAATACCTTTTATCAACAACACAAATTGTGGTTATACACATGGACTTCACTAGATGGAGTACATGGGAATCAGATTGACTAGATCTGTGGCAAGAGGCAATGGAGAAATGCCATATCTTCAGCCAAAACAAGGCCAGGAGCTGACTGTGGAACAGACCATCAAATGCTCATATTCAAGTTCAAGGTGAAGTTGTAGACAATTAAAAAAATAAGTTCATGAAAACAAAATATGACCTTGATTATATCTCTCCTGAATTTAGAGACCATCTAAAGAATAGATTTGATGTGCTGAACACCAATAACCAAAAACCAGAGGAATTGTGAGATGACATCAAGAACATCATCCATGAAGAAAGCAAGAGGTCATTAAAAAGATAGGAAAGAAAGAAAAGATGAAAATGGATGTCAGAAGAGATTCTGAAACTAGCCCTTGAATGGAGAGTAGCTAAAGCAAATGGAAGAAATGACAAGATAAAAGAGTTGAACAGAAGATTTCAAAGAGCAGCTCAAGAAATCAAAGTCAACTATTATAATTAAATGTGCAAACACCTGGAGTTGGATAACCAGAAGGAAACAACACACTTGGCATTTCTCAAGCTGAAAGAACTGAGGAAAATATTTAAGCCCATAATTGAATATTGAAAGATTCCATGGGCAATATGTTGAATGATGCAGGAAACATTAAAAGAAGATGGATGAAATACACAGAGTCACTATACCAAAAATAATTGATAGATGATCATCCATTTGAGGAGATGGCATATGATCAAGAACCAAATCAATGGTATTGAAGGAAGAAGTCAAAGGTGACTGAAGAAATTGGGGAAAAACAAGATTCCAGGAATTGACAGAATACCCACAGAGATATTTCAACAAACAAATGCTGCACTGGAGGCACTAATTCATCTATGCCAAGAGATTTGGAAGACAGCTACCTGGCCAACTGATTGGAAGAGATCCATATTTGAACCCATTTCAAAGAAAGGTGATCCCACAGAATGTGGAAACTATTGAACAATATCATTAATATCGCATGAAAGTAAAATCTTACTGAAGATAATTAAAATGGGTTGCAGCAGTATATTGACAGAGAACTTCCAGAAATGCAAGCTGGATTCAGAAGGGGACGTGGTGCAAGGGATATCATAGCTAACGTTAGATGAATTTTGGCTCAAAGCAAAGAATACCAGAAAGATGTTTACTTGTTTTTTATTGACTATGTAAAGGCATTTGATTGTGTGGATCATAACAAATTGTGGATGACATTGAGAAGAATGGGAATTCCGAAACATTTAATTGTACTCATGAGGAACCTGTACATAGACCAAGAGGCTGTCATTTGAACAGAACAAAAGGATACTGCATGGTTTCAAATCAGGAAGGGGGTGCATCAGGGTTGTATCTTTTCACCATACTTGTTCCTTCTGTATGAGGAGCAAATAATCCAAGAAGCTGGACTCTATGAAGAAGAATGTGATGTCAGGATTGGAGGAAGAATCATTAACAACCTGAGATACTCAGATGACATAACTTTGCTTGCTGAAAGTGATTATGACTTGGAGCACTTACTGATGAAAATTGAAGACTGCAGTCTGCAGCATAGATTGAACCTCAATATAAAGAAAACAAAAATCCTCACAACTGGACCAATAAGCAGCATCACAATAGATAGAGAAAAGATTGAAATTGTCAAAGACTTCCTATTGCTTGGTTCTATAATTGACGGCAATGCAAACAGCAATCAAGACATCAAAAAGACATATTGCATTGCACAAATCTGTTGCAAAAGACCTCTTTCAATCACTGAAGAGCAAAGATGTCTCCTTCAAGACTAAGATGCGCCTGACCTAAGCCATGGTATTTTCAATTGCCTCATATGCATGTGAGAGCTGGACAATGAATAAGGAAGGCTGAAGAAGAATTGATGCTTTTCAGTTGCGGTGTTGGTGAAGAATGCTGAAAGTACCATGGATGGCTAAAAGAACTAATGAGTCTGTCCTGGAAGAAGTGCAGCTGGAATCCTCCTTGGAAGCGAGAATGGCCAGCCTCTGTCTCCCCTACTTCGGTCATGTTGTCAGAAGGGACCATTCTTTGGAGAAGGATGTCATGCTTGGTAAAGCAGAGGGTCAGCGAAAGAAGGGAAAACCCTCAACAAGATGGATTGACTCGGTGACTGCAGTGATGGGGTCGGGTACAGTAGGGATTATTTGCAAGTTGCAACAGTGTTACTGCTTTGCCCACGTAAAGGCACATCTCAAACACATGTTCTTTAGCCCAACCGTGTTTTTCTTCACTTCAACTTTTCTGGCCCATTCCAAGCTCCTTTCTTTACCACCTTACCCACTAACATATCGGTCATTGTACCTAACAAGCTGTGACCTACTTTACAGATAGGCATCCCACTTAGATAAGTCTGCTGAAAGGGATGGATAGTCTGAGGGGCCTGTTTTTTGGTACCATGTGATCCACTAAGCTTGGATGGAGTTAATTGGACCAGAGAGGGGCAGGTAGAGTGAAGAGTTGTAAACTCTTGCTGATGAGGTTCCTGGAGGTGCCTTGAACTCCAGAGGGCCTTCCAGGCTCTGTGAGGAATGTCCTTCTGCTTTTCCTGAGGCTAGATTGTTAGCCTTTCCTTTTTTTTTGCTTCCACATGCAAGTCCCATCTCCCTACTATTTGAAGTAACTTGAGAGTTTTGATCCTTGAAACAAAGAGTCTAAAACATCTACCCAAACCTTCAAGTTAGTATCTTTGTCCTCAATCAGCTGTCACATAATATTTGCTATTTTGTTAGCAGATATAAACTAATGCTTCTTCCTGCAGTCCCTGTATCATTGAAGGTCATTTTTCAAGACTGGAAAAAACAAAACAAAAACAACTCTCCAGACTCCGCTAATGATTTTCTAATGGCAGAATTTCAGAAGCAGACTAGGTAGCAGAAAGTTATATTTTTAACAGGCACCCTGCATGGTGCTCTTTAATCATATCATTTTGTTTCTAATATTGAATGTTTGAAAAAACCTGAACTGAGGGGCTCAGAGCTTGGCCCCAGTCCTAGCTCTGTTTCTTGCTACTTCTTTCATTAGTGAGCAAGATATTTAATTCTCTGGATCTCAGTTCCATCATTTGTACAATTATTATTGGAACAAGTAGACTATTAGAACCTTTCCAGCTCAATATTCTGTGTTTCCGTCACTTTGCTTTTACTTAACCACAAGGGCAGCATATCCCTCAAAGTTCATGAAGCTGAGATCTTTCGGAAAAGTGAAATTCTCCAAGCATACAGGACCACTTCCCCCTGAATTCTAATTATAGCCCTATACATTTCAAAGAGGGAGAGAAAAAGTAAAACCTATGTGAGAAAGGTTTTATTATAATTACATTTTTCTCCAAAAGGACAAAGCATATATTACATAAAGAACAATATAATTTGTGTTTAAAAATTTCCAGTGACAATTATTATAAAAATTAAAAATTTGACTAAAAATAAGAATCAGTAGGATAAAAATTATAGAAAGAGTGCTGTATATTTCTACTTAAACTATTTAGTAGGACATAAATTACAGCTGACATCTATTGAGCTCCTAAAATATGCTAGGAACTGTGCTATATATTCAAACAGGAAAGTTCAAAAACCTTATATTATAAATTGCACCACCTTTTGACAATGATTTGGGGACTAGCTGATATTCACTGCATTCTGGCCAGATTCTTACTTTGATGTATACAAGTGTCTTCTCAGACTCACTTAATAAAAAATAGATTATTAATAGAAGACAGTATAGGTCTTTGGCAGAATATTCCAATATTTGTATTATTTTAGAGATGAAAGTTGTAAGTCCAGATCTCATCAAAAATCCCCTTTCCCAAATTGTTTCCTGGAACAGTTCAAATAGAACAAGCAATTTATTTATGTAAGCCCTTGCTCTTTTCAGTGACCTCTTTTTGAGTAAACCGGTAGATGAAGAGCTTGGTGAGCAAACAATAACATTCGACAGAAACACTGACTATGACCTTCTGCTAGACATGTACATTGTATCCTTTTTTCACCCCTTAGATAGGGAGGGCACAAACTGTTTCTAGAAACAAGAGTTTCATACCAATCACTGGTCTTCCTGAAATAATCTCAAATGCAAAATAAGTGCTTGTATACCTCATATACACACACAGACATATTCATGGCTAATCTTACTTGGTAAAATGACTTGTTGCTTTCAGATCTGTGTCTTGTGGACGAAGATTATCATACACATATTTCAGATCTTGAATTCCACTTAGCTCAGGCAATCCTGCATGTAGCATCTTAACAAAACAACAACAAAAATAACACAATCAAAGAAGATAATACATTTCTAATGAGACATATGGAAGCTTATGTTTACATTGCAAGTCTGCTTGTAAGCATGAATGAACAAACTCCTATTTTTTAGCCTCCCATATTCAGTAGTAGAAGTAATAGTAATAATCATAAAAATACAAAGTACTATACTTTTTTTTTTTTTATTGTGATTTGGGTGAAAGTTTACAGAGCAAAGGCAATTTCCATACAGCAGTTCACACACACGTTGTCTCATGACATTGACTACAATTTACCCCAATGCAACAGCT